AGCCGAGCGAAGGGAGAATGTCTTGCTTTCAGACCGCTCATCCAACTCACCACCCGGAGCTCACCAAAAAACAAGGGCGAGACACCTCAGGAAATACAGTTGAACCTCTTCTGCTGTTGCTGGGCTGTCAACATGGCAACGGCAAAAATCACGTTGCCAGAAGACCTGGGTTCGAAGTCTCTACTTATGTTTGACGACTTGGTTTCCAGAGGGAAGCTATTCTACAGCGAATCTAAGAGCGACATTGTCTCCCACAACGGCTTCGAGGTGCGAGAAAGCCTTAATCTCTTTCCAAAGGCAATCGGTATCCGAAGAAATTTCTGACCAGACCTCACCAGTTCGAGTTCCGCATTAGTCCAGCTTTGAAAAGAAAGCCATATCTGGAGCGAGATGATCCCAAGCGTACGGCAGACAAGGGGCCGTTTCTGACCCCAGATCCCGACTTCGTTGTTGCGCAAGTAGGGTCTCATCATGCACTGAAGCTTAATCTGTGCTGCATGTATCGGCCGGCATTCGTATTATATACCCGACTTTTTGAGCCTCAGACGCAAGACCTCAACTTCGTTGACGTTGAGGCTGCACGTGCCGTGATGATCGCACTTAAGCCAACTCTGGGGCCCCAACTGATGATCTATAATTGCGGCGTCGACGCCGGATCATCTCAGGGTCATAAGCATGTGCAGATTTTTCCTCAGCCGACTCACTTCTCACTGTATCCTCAGAAGGCGACGTCTGAAATTGGTAAGAGACTTGAATCTCAGGTAGAAGCGGCCGCTAAAAGAGTTCCCAACGCAGAAATCAATTCGACCATTGCTGGGGTTCCCAACCTACATTTCGTATTGCGATTACCCCAGGCAGCGACCCATGAGCAGGCCTGCCACAGTCTTGAAAGACTAGTATCCGCAGCAAGAGAAATCGCAACAACTTATGGGGAACGAAGTGACTATAACGTTATCATGGCTGAGGACTGGATATGTGTGGTGCCGCGGCGACTTGTTGGGAAGGACGGAGTGGGAGCGAATGGTGCTGGCATGGTAGGTCTGGTGTGGCTCCGAGACCAGACAGAGAGGGACGGTTGGGACTCTTTTGGTTTAACAGATCATCTTGTTCAACTTGGTGTATCAAGAACCTGTGTACCAAGATGATTTAATAGCAGTGCGAGAATACCAAAATAGGACAAGGGCTACCCCAAAAGGCGTACGGCTGGTCGCAAGGCAGGAATTGTCGTCAGCCAGTTTGGCGAAGCTACCTTGACTCAGTGGTTCATCTTCGGATTTGCAATGATTCTTCCGAGTATCTTGGAAGCGGGAGTCTCTCTAGGCTGTTGTGCAAATGAAGCTAGGGGGCATCCTCGCGTCACCCTGTTTGGGACTATTGATATATCCCGTCGGATGCTGGATTGCATCAGAAAACGTCCGTGCCTTTTCCAGTTTTCTCATCCAATTCATGTACCCTGAATCATGAATATGGCTGTTGAGAAACATCCCCTCTTCGGTGTCTTCGTCATGACTTAATGGCTGTGGACGTCTCTTGGAGAAACCTCGCTGCTGCTGTTCATACCCAGAGACTGCTAGCCAAGTTAGTTTTAGCCTATATCGACAGGCTAGTCCCAAGCGCCGACAATGATCGCACATTGGACGTTGTTCTATAGATTCAGTCAAAATTTCACTTCCATTGAAGCTCTAGGTAGAAACATGGGGACGGACCGGGACATTTTACACGACGTCCTATGATGCATACACTTTTAGCTGGCTGGTCCTTTCTGACTATAGGTACTAGTAATTTTACATACCTCTGCATGTACGGCATCCACTTCTGGCCCGAAAGTCCCCGCTTCTCCGCCGATGCGGCGGGCCATTGGAGTCGGCCATGGTCGGGATATTTCTTCTACTAGGTACGACACGACAAAAAGGAACTTTAGTATTCTCTAGATGGGATGAGAAAGTGGTGACTCCCTCAACGGGGCTACGGCACGTTGATGGCATGTTCAGTATTGAGCTGCAGATAAGGCCTCGAAACCCCAGATGAGAGACCATAACAAATAAGGGCCGAACTAATGAGCCTCAGCTGAGGAAGCCCGACTCAGTTTCTTTACCCCGCAGATACATACACCATATGTGGGTGAAGATAGGCGACGATAGGCATGGAAGAGATTTTGGTTCGGCTTCGGTGTGAGCGCGCCGACAATGTGGCATCGGACTGGGGTTGCCGTTTCCACTTCCCCGCGGTGGGCTTCTTATCTCGGACACCTTTGCCGTGGGGGCCTGAATCCGAGCAGCGCGGGAGAGCGGCCCTCGATCCGACGTCGGAGCTGAATGCGACTTGGCTCCCAGAACTCAAAATCGACATCATTCCGCCATAGTCCTCTGACTGTGAACTTTTGTTCGCAATAAACCGAAAAGGGAAAAAGCCAAGATGCCTGACCTTCAAGACTCAATATTGATCGTTGGCGCTGGCACCTTTGGCCTGTCAGCAGCGTATCACTTCACACGTGCCGGGTACAAGTCCATCACGATTCTCGAGAAAGGAACATCCGTTCCCTCGTCTCTCTCGGCGGGCAACGACGTCAACAAAATTGTCCGCGCAGAATATGAAGACCCCTTCTATACCGAGCTGGCCTTGCAGGCCATGTCGGAATGGGCCGACAACGAACTATTCGCGCCGCACTACCACCAGACGGGGTACCTCTTAGCCAACTCAGCAGCAGCGCCGGAAAAGACGAAAAAGACCCTAGCTAAATCTCTTGAGAGTATCCGGGTGCATCCAGCTTGGGCTGGTAGGATCAACCCGATCAAGAACAGAGAAGATATCGCCAAAGCTGCGCCGGCACTGGACGGGCCTATGGAAGGATGGGAAGGGTATTTCAATCAGTTCGCGGGTTATGCGCATGCCGCGAATGCGCTCAAGGCAGTCTATGAATACGTCAAAGCCCAGGGAGTCGAGATCCACACTGGGGAGAATGTTGCGAGCCTCACGTATGACGGGGACAAATGCATAGGCGCCCGCACGACTTCCGGCAAAGACTTCAAGGCAGCGACAACGATTCTTACGGTCGGGGCTTCGCTCGGAAACGTGCTCCCGTCCGTCGGCCGTCAAGTCACGGCAAAGGCATGGAGTGTCTTGCACATACAACTCCAGTCGGAGGAAGCAGCGCGCTTGAAGGGAATTCCGGTCACATACGCTCGGGACTTGGGTTTCTTCTTTGAGCCAGAACCTGGCACGGGCATCCTCAAGCTCTCCCCAAGTGGTGGAGGCTACACCAATTACTCGACGACGACAGGCCTGTCCACGCCTCCAGAGAAGAACGACTTCGTACCCGAGGCTGATGTGCGTCGGATTCGAAAGCTGCTCCAGGAAACCCTTCCGGGCCTGGCTGATAGACCTTTTGTCGACCAGCACATCTGCTGGTGTGCCGATACGGCGGACTCTGATTATGTTATCGACGCTGTGCCAGGAAAGAAGGGCCTGTATCTGGCGACAGGCGACTCGGGCCACGGCTTCAAGATGCTTCCGGTGGTCGGACAATGGATCAAGGACTTGGTAGAGAAAGGAAAGCAAGATATCGTTCGGTGGAAGTGGAAGGAAGGCAGTGATGCTGGTCAGAATGTGAGCTGGCGTGCGGGTGAGGTAGTGGACCTGAAGGATATATAGTAGCCTTCGATTAAAGAAACAAATACTTGTTCCAATCTGTGATGAGAATTCTTTATTTAAAGTCTCAATGATTTTCATCCATCAGCGTTCTTCACGGATCTAGATCATCCCTTCAGAGCGGTCTCAGTCCGTGTTAGACCCATCTGAAGACGCAAAGATGTTGACGTCAGCGCTACATAATCGACATGACCGCCACATTTTCCGAACGTCAGACTACGAATAACACGTGGTTATGATCATAGAAGAAACGAGTGAGAGAGCCCAGGCTGTCTTTGTCGGCGAGTTGAGCGCGTCATGACCATGGGGTGTGTCCTGAGAGTAAGCTTTTATCAGATGTTTATAAGTGCATGTGCCCAGGCGATGAGTTCTCTCTAGCCCATACAAGGAGCTTCATCAATGTCGAGATTTGCTTTCAGAACACAACTTTTCGCAACAGCCTGTTCACAGTCCCCCAGAAGCTTTCATCGTACATTGCATACTGCCACTAAGATGTCTTCAGACTCCGGACATATCAACTTTCCCGGCAAAACCTCTGCCACCCCAGGAGAAGAGTTTGAAGTCCGCCAGACCTCGACCACTGAGGATTACCACCCCAACCCATCCAAGTCAATTCCCCTCTCTCCAGCGCGTCAGCGCTTGATTGACGACATCATCGCGCTGTACTCAATGGAGCCCACAGTCGAGCGCGTGAAGCGGTACACCGCTGACTGCGTGTATGACGACCAGTTTGTCTACGCCAACGACCGGTACAAGATGGCAGGGCAGTGGTTCGCCTTGCCTAAGCTCTTCAAGGCGAGCGTGAACGAGGGGTACGAGATTGTGAAGAACGACCGAGACCTGATTCAGTTCAGGAACGAGCAAAGCTGGACTTTTAAGCTCATCCCAAAGACTGCGACGATCAATGCGCTTGTTAGTCTTAGCCTGGATCCTGGCACCGTCGACAGCGACTTCATTCAGGTCAAGTACCACAAGGATCAGGCCAATGACAAGGACTACAGCCATGAGTAAGCTCACCACGAACATGAGGAACGCCCATTATCAAGCTAATCGCATATTCTAGGGGCGTTGGGTTCTCGTTCAAGAAGTGGCAAGCGGACAACGTCATCAAGGTCATGGACAGTAAAGAGGTTGAAGCTTTCGCTGCGGATAAGGATGCTGGCAAGAACAAGGTGAAGAAGTATGGCACTGGTAAGACTGAAGGGGATGCACCTATAAAAGATCTCTGAGCCAAAATTTGGTTTGATGAAAGAACATATACGGACGTGACCTTATTTCACCATCATTTAGCCCGAGAAGTTGGTGCGGAAAGAAGTGATCCTTCATTGCATGGAATATCGAAATGATGTCACCTATAACATCGCATCTGATAGAAAGTCTTTCGGTCGCGTCGCCGTGGAATAATTGAACTGTGCCGTCCAGCAATGATCCGCTGAGGTAATACCTGAGACGTCAATCTTCTTCCTCGTTAAGCCTCCTGTGTCATTACCAGCGCCAGATACTCTGGTCTTGCAGTAAATGACAACATGTTCGGACATATCTTATCAAGTACACATGAAAAAGGATTTCCATGCATCTGGAGAGGAGCTGCACGTTTGGTGCTGCCTAAGGAACTGTCTTGGGTGAAGAGTTCGCGACCTACATGCGCAGCCGGTGAATAAACAAAGGGTTGAATTAGGACGAAATTAGAATGCGCAGCTCGTTATTAAGCTTAGGATAGCTGCTTCGCCTCCCCGCCGCACAGCTAAATTCTGCAGCCTGTTCTAATCATGTAAGCACTACCAAGAGCAGTGGGTGGGCTCGAAGCAGGGATTATTGGCCCATCAGCCTTGGAAGGATTTCCTCTCCGTCAACATGCAGTCTACAGTCTCCAGGTTGGAATCAAACTTTCTCTTCAATGACTGAAAGTAACTGCAACTGATTTCAATGTTGGCCATGAACTACTAGGTTCCACGATGCGCTACGGTTCGTGTATTTGTTGGGTTGGGCATCTTGCCAGGCGAGTTTCCACAGGTACCTTAGTGCTGGCAGAGGACGTCACTGCAAATTTAGTGTTAAAGTTCACTGGCGAATATCTACTGACTTGGTTCGGGATGGACTGTCAGGAACTTCTCAAGTACTTTACCTATCGTGACCATGGCACCAAACATGGTTGAGAGACACCGACCAGTCTGCAAGACTAGAAGCAGATTGACTGAAAGGTACCACGTGGGACGGGAGGATAAAAAGCAAACAGTTAAACATAGACCGACCAAATCCCACAGCCCTACTTGGCAGCTCCAACCAACGACTAAATGCTGACAACACTCCTCCGGACGAACAGACTCCCGCCCCTCCCCACCATGTTTCGCTGTTTGTTTCCTAGAAGGGACCCAAGAGACTGGCACGCCTACCGTGCACCGCCGACGTCAGCCCTGGGAACCGTCAGCACAAACATGCAGCTGCCATCCTAAGACTGCAATATTCTGGACTCGTGGCTAGGGTGTTGAGATTGCTGGTCAGCAGCATGAGGCCAGATTCAGTAACGAGGCAACAAGTAAGCTGACATTTTGCACCCATCGGGACAATGAGTTATGTCTTGTTGTAGCCTATGTTGGTATGATTCCAAAGCCATCAGCAGAAGGATGCTGTGCCCCATATCGTGGGAATTACCAACCTATACACCAGATATGTGCTTGTTGGATTGAATGAGGCTGACGCTCATCTGCGGCCACTTGATGAAGTACACAATGTTGCAATCCTTTTGTGTCGCGACCATGTTATATAATAGCCTCATCGAACGCCTCTTCATTTCTCTTTCCTCTCATCATCACACACATCACAGCATCAACAAGCTGATAAGTTCGCTTTCCGCATTTTCATCTTTCCTATTTCTCTTTTCCTTGTCTCCTTTGTCAGCTCGGATATCCTGTCTGTCATTCCTACAGCAAAGAAAAAATACATAAAGCAGTCAAGATGTACACCTCCACCATTCTCTCTTCCATCCTCTTCTCCGCCGCCGCTCTGGCCGCGCCGACCACCAACCCGAACCACCCCTCGTCCTCCGCCACCATCTCCACTCAAACCGACACCAGCTCCATCGACAATGTCCTTCCCCCCATCGTCCCCGTCAACACCCGTGCCGGCAACGCAGACCTCATCACAAAGCTGATGACCGCACCCACTCAGCAAGAGCGCGTCCGCCTCCTCAACCAACCCGGCGACTTCGTCTTCGACTTCAACGACTCCGGCGCCCCCGAGGGCTCCGAGTCCCGCGGCAAGGGTGGCTTCTCCACCTCCGCCACGGCAAAGACCTTCCCGGCCCTCATCGGCAACGGCGCCGCCATGACCCTCGGCTTCCTCGGCCCCTGCGGCATGAACACGGCCCACGTCCACAACCGCGCCACCGAGCTCAACGTGATCGTCAAGGGCCGCCTTGTCACCAACTTCGTCGTCGAGAACGGCCTCGACCCCATCGCCAACACCATGGAGACGTATCAAATGTCCGTCTTCCCCCAGGGCGCGATCCACCAGGAGTTCAACCCCGACTGCGAGGATGCCGTCTTCGTTGCCGGCTTCAACAACGTCGACCCCGGTGTCGAGCAGGTTGCTCAAGCTTTCTTCAACCTCCGCCCGGATGTCGTCTCTGCCACCCTCGGCGGCGTGCAGACAATTGACGGTGCCGATCTTGAGAGCTTCCGTAAGCACATCCCTGCCAACATTGCTCTCGGCATCGACGCCTGCTTGAACAAGTGCGGCATCAAGCGCAACGCGAAGCGCGACCTCAACGAGATCTTTGGCGCGCCCCAGAACTAGACTCGTGACGATTGACGGGCTGTGATTGGGATGGCAATTGTAAATATGCATTGTTGTATGGAGCCTGACAGGTAGTCAGCATTTCAGCGTAGGCATTGAAGTTCATTTGGAGGGGCATAGCGTGGGTTGCATAGCCAAGGACATTGGCTCACTGGCGTTTAGATTTTGGGTATCAAATATCTTGTTTAGACACTGTCAATACATTCTTCTACTCATCTTTGTTTTTTGCTTCACCTCACTGAACAGTGTGGCTCGATAATACATTAGCTGCTAAGTTGTCGAGCCGCTTCATTCGGTTACGATTGTGCAATGCAACCCACATAGGTACCTAAGAAATAGTCACAGATGATTTGGGGAATGCCATCCTCACAAGTCCCAAATGCTGTCGGAAAAGTAGACCCCTTCACCTTGGCCAACGAGCTCTTCGATATTGCGAACTTGAGTTACATCAGCACGCCTCAGAGTCGTAGTGTCAGAGTTGCATCGCATCGGGCGAAATGCCAACCTCGCGTTGGACGTGCGAGGATCACCAATACAACTCAAGCTTCCTTCGCGGGCTGTCCAAAGCGCTGCAGACTGCCCCGCGACCCCACGTAAGGCTAGATGGAAACCAGGGGAAAACAATGCGATGCCGCGCACATTTGCCGATAGTTTCGCCGCTAGAGAGATGATCTCTCAGCCTAGAGTCTTAGGTGCGGAGGTCAGGTGGCTTGTGTGTATAAACGAGAGACACTTTCTCAGCTCGCTGGAGTATAAAAAAGCAAGCTGGTAGATGTGAACTTTGACTCAAATAGCGCCCGACGCAACCCAACTTTGTATCAAACCTTTTCTCAATCACCGTCAAATTTCAATCATGACACAAGAATTCGACTTCATAGTCGTCGGTGGTAAGTTTAATGTTCCTGGAGACAAGGTTGCCGTGAGGGGTCACGCCTCTTCATCCTCGGATATCACAACGAACCCCTCACGAGAGGAGAAACCGCACTAACAACAAACGACGATCAGGCGGCACAGCGGGGTGCCTTCTTGCCTCCCGCCTCGCAAACACGGCATCGAAGCCCAGTGTTGCGTTGTTAGAAGGTGGCGGTGACATCAGCAAACCCGAGTATAGGCGTACGGCTGAAAGATTCAGCACCATTGCACAGCCGGGCCTCGACTACGGCTATGCCTCGACGCCGCAGGAGCATGCGAAAAATCGCGAGGTGCCGCAGGCTCGTGGCAAAGGTCTAGGAGGGTCGAGTGCTACCAACTTCCAGGTTTGGTCACTTGGCGCGCGCGCGGAGTTCGATGCCTGGGCTGCGGCTGCAGGTGATGATGCTTGGGGATTTGAATCCGTCATTGAGAGGGTTAGGAAGGTAAGTCGAAACCAGTTCTGAAGAGAGATTTCACCTTATCTTGGTCTCGAGCTGACTTCGAAAAGCTGGAAAACCTCCACCTTGATGATCTTTCGAAGGAGTGGGCTGAATATGTGAAGCCCGATCCGAAGTATCACGGTTTCTCTGGGTAACAAGTCACTTTTCATTGCAGTGATCCACTTTTCTGACATTAATCAGGCCCATCGACGTCTCCATCGGACACGTGGAACGAGAAACAAAGTCCTTTATCGACGCTGGAGTTGATCTCGGGGTGGGTTGATTGACAAGCCAGACGACAATGGGTGAGGCAGTGGACAGTGATGCTGACCCCATGATAGCACAAGCGCAACCTTGACCCCAACGATGGTGACCCAATTGGTTTCTCGCTGAACTCGACAACTAGTCTGAATGGTGTCCGAGTAACCGGTGCATCTGCATTCCTCGAGAAGAATGTTCCAGCAAATTTGACCGTTCTGACCGAGAGTCGTGTGGTCAAAATCATCTTTGAGAAGGATCGTGCTGTGGGTGTTCTGAAGGAAGATGGTTCGCAGGGTAAGCTTGCGTAAAAGCCCAGTTGATACCTGGCGATTCACTGACCCTGGAACTTCAGTTCGAGCGAAGAACGAAGTCATTCTATCAGCCGGCGCCCTTGACAGTCCCCGTCTACTGCTACTTTCAGGTATCGGACCTCAAGCAGACCTGGGTGCCCTCGGAATCCCCGTAGTCAAGAACCTCAATGGTGTGGGGAAGTCCTTTACAGACCACCCCATGATTGTGACTTGCTTTCAGATGAAGTCCGGCTTTACTGATAGGATGGGGCTCTCTGACCCAAGCAAGTACGAGGAGGCCGTGAAGCAACTCGCAGAAAGTGGGAACGGACCGCTTTTGGGACATTTCTCGTCTGTTCCGCATGCTTTCCTCAAGAATGACCGGGCTTATGAGTCGCCTGAATTCAAGAAACTTCCCGCTGATGTGAAAGGCTATCTGCTCGAGGAAGGTGTCCCTAGCTATGAGCTTGTCGTAAGTTGTACTAGGGCTGAAGAGCATGACCCTCAACTAACGTCAACCTACAGATTGGACCCTTGATTCCTCCTGATCATGTCTTCGAAAAGTCTAGCGACGGATTCTTTTCGGTATTCGTTGCAAACATGAACTCTGTCTCTCGAGGAACAATCAAATTGGCTTCAGCCGACCCTGCGGACCCCCCTCTGATTGACCCGAAGTATCTCAGCAACCCCTTCGATTTGGTAAACCTGCGAGAAGCGCTAAGAGAAGGACTCAATCTCCTCAAGACCAGCACAATGAAAGACCATTTCGTCAGGCCGATATTTGCACCAAAGTCGGAGAGCGACAAGGATATTGATGTGAGTTTGAAGCTTATCTCAGCAATTAGGGGTAGTTGCACTTTTCTAAGTATAGCGCTGACTGAGCTTCCAGGACTTCATCCAAGAGAACGTGGCGGGACTATGGCATCCATCTTGCAGCGTGAAGATGGGTAAGAGCGAGCGAGATGGCAGCTGTGTCAACGGAGACCTTCGAGTTCATGGCTTGAACGGCTTGCGGGTTGCGGATCTAAGTGTGACAACTATACTACCCAGGTACGTTTCTCATCTTCTTTAAAGTGATACAAGATAGTTGCTGATAAAAGTTCAACAGTGGTCGTAAGTTTGCTACAAGCTCACCTTTTACGTCGCGTTCAATAGCTTCGTGTATTTCATTGCTGACAGGTGCTTCTAGATCCTCAGATCGTCGCCTATGTTATTGGACAACTGGCCGCAGAAAAAATTGCGCGAGACTACGGGTTGGATACCAAGAGGAAAGAGAAGATCTAACAGTTAGTCAAGGATGTACGAGTATATTAAATGAGAAAACTTTTCTTCGTAAATCCATTCCAGCATTCTACCTTCAAATAAGATATCTGAAACCCTTTCCAATGAGTTGCGCCTGCCCAGCAGCCTCAGCTTCTTGCTCCCTCATCTCCAACTTCTTGTTCTCTCTCTTCAGAACAAAGTGCAACACAGTGGCAGCAACAATCGCCATCAATGCCATCGCGGCATTCACACTGAAAGCTAAGACGAACCTCGGCGTCGCGTTGTTGGGGTACAAGTAAGATCCGTAGATGCCTGAGAGCGTAGAAAACGCGTTGTTAAACGCCACCGCAGCGGCGCGCTTCGCCGTAGGTCGATAGATCGTGTTAGCAGTCCAGACCATGGACATATTAAAGCCAGTATAGATCCCAGGAAGCATGATCATGGCACCAAAGTATCGGGGCCCAATGCCTGTCGCGGCGCTGGAGATGATGAATCCGACGAGCGAGCAAGCCAGCGGGGCGACGGTGTGCCAGTACCTCTCGTTCATACGGTCGGCGTTCCAAGATACTGCCGCGCAAATGATGCATGCGAAGAGGTAAGGCGGCGAAGTAAGAAGCAGCGTTGTGATGCGATCCTTTCCGAGACTCGCAACGACGGTGGGGAAGAAGCTATTAATCGAAATCGAGGACGCGGCGCCGTAGACAAGTACGACAAGAATCCAGTTGATAGGATCAACCAAGATCATCTTGAAGCCTTCAAAGATGGGCTGCGATGATGAGCTCGTCCAGTCCTCCTCGCCCGCGGCGTCGACTTCCATGCGCCACATGGCCAGCTGTCGTTCTTGGTCTGTCAGCCACTTGGTATTGGCTGGGAAGTCTGGCAGCACGAAGAACGCGCCGAGGGCAATAGCGACGGTAAGCGATCCCTCGATGATGAAGAGCCAACGCCAGGCTAGCAGGCCGCGGGCGCCGTCCATGCCGTTCGTGATGCCGGCTGCGATTAGACCCGAGAAAGCCCCCGAAAGCATGGAGCCGCTGTAGAATAGTCCGGTACGGACGCCAAGTTCTTTACGAATGTACCATGAGCTGAGAGTTGCGAGGCAGCCTAATACCACACGTTCGTTAGGATTTTCTTTCTCTGCAGTATTTTTATACGGACAAGGTACCAATCTTTACTCACCTGGATAAAAGGCTGCTTCAACAAACCCAAGAAAGAATCGAGTTGCCACCAGTCCGCCAAAGCTATGTGTTGCGCCGCTGCAGGCACATAACACGCCCTGGTAGTTTGCATGATCATCAGCATGATGCTATGTTGAAGGATGGTTACACAAACCGAGATCCGAATGAAGAAATTCCAGCAACCGGTGCTGTAAGTGATGCGTCACGTTACACCCACACTATGCGGCCAAGGGCTCGCCAACCAACGCGGCGGTGAGATCTAACCGGTCGATCCCGAACGCGACGAAGAAAGAAGAAACTCCGAATCAGACTTACCCAAACGCACATGCATCCCGTCAGATAGATCGCAGGACGTCCTATCTTGTTCAGGAACATGTTTGAAGGTACCTGCATCAGGATGTACCCCACAAAAAGAATCGAAACACAAGTCTAGGGTGATTACCGAATTAGCTACAAGCCTCTGGGTTTGAAGGTCATCAGTTGTTTGAGCTTCAGCTTACCTGAAATTCGTTACCAGTCAGACCCAAGTCTTTCTCCAAACCGCCCAGCCTTGCCGAGCCGATGGCATTTCTATGAGATTATTAGTCTGAAAGTCAAGTTATCCGGCGCACGCAGCTTGCTGACCTGTCGAGGTAATTCATGATATAGATCAGAAT